AGAGTTGTAGAGTATGCTCATAGGAGCAAAAAAGTCAAAAGAACTATATCTCTACATGTGATCCTTCGCGAAATATAGCCCCCCTAAATCAGTCGCATGCGATCGGGATTCGCGACGCGCATCGAGAGCTTAGCTAAGACAATTGCGTTTAACTATTTAGTCCACTTGACTATGCCTGCTTTGAGTAACCCACTTGACTGTTCGTGGAGTATCCCTTTTGAGACAACGCTAAAGAGCCTTACTGGCAAGCTCAGTGTAGGTAGTCTTAGTTAAACAGGAAGCGGCATAATCGGTATTGAACACGGGCGTTCAAACAGCTAGCGGAGCTTCTGAAGGAGTGCTCCGCGGAAATCACGAAATTCGGCCAAACTTTTAATATTAAATTTCGTGACAACGCAGCAATAAAACTCGGACAATTTGTTATTACAGAGTAGTCTATATACAGAGTTTCTAAATTTAGGTATTTTTTAACATTGTTAAGCCGAATTTCACAATTAGTGTCAATGATTTTCGGACAAATCTCTATTTCCATAACAATTGATCGATCGTTGCGCGGTTTCTTCACAGAGACGACGAATGGTTTCCACTTATTTTCGGACATATTTTTCACTCTTCATAATTTTCGTTAAGCCCAAATCTAATCGAATCGTTAAAGCAAACTGGAAAGTAACCAATACAAGTTGTATTTTCATAATAGTCGTTTCTTTCTTTTGCAGAATGGATAATTTCAAAGAATTAAAGAAGTGGCACACCTCCGCAGATTATAACCAAGAGGAGAACGCCTCGTCGTCTTCCACTTTGGTTCGAGTGACTCGGGTGCTTCCGAAAGATGTCGAGGAGAGCGGAGAGCGTAAGTCGCCTACACTCGACAACAAACGGGTGGTTGTCATAATTCCGAACGATAGCACCTCGTCTGTCGTCGATTATCTGCGACGACGATACCCGGAAGTTGCAGAATGGACGGTGGAGTGTCGATCACGCGAGATAGTACTCGACGGACAGGAGTCGAAAGTGATCGTGGAAACATCCATCATACGTAAGAAGCCTTGATGGAAAAGGCTTTTCTTCTTCTGCATAAAGTAAATCTTTTCTCGAGGTTATCTTCCACCGATGTGACTCTGCCATTCTAATACAACTTTGTCACCCGGAAATAACGTTTCATCCGGCTACGACATAATTCAATGAACTTGACTTTTCATCCCGGATTGGGTTTTTTCCTTTTCAATTTACGGCAGTATCAGAGGATTCATTGTTCCACTTCGATTAAATTAAAGTCCTTAGAACAACAACAGTTTGATGGTCGACAAAAGTGACAACGAAAACATAAGGCAGTGTTTCTCGAGTTAAAGACTGTTACGCTATTGTTTAATCGTCTATAAACGGACAAGGCAATTTATATTATACGGATATCCACCGGTATTTAAACCGGTATTCAACTGTTAACAAATTTTACCATAAATAGAATATATTGGCTACTGGTATGCACTACAAGAGGAAAACCATTTCAACGTTGAACTTAAATAATGAAAAAAAAAACATTGTAGTCAGTATACGTCCAAACCAAAATTATAATTATTTCAACAATTAAATTTGTATGTCGAATTGTCTTAAGTGTATATAAAATTTTATATTTAATAAAATTTAATATGAAATTTAAAAAAAATTCGGTATTTATCAAAATTCGGTATTTATCAAAATAAACGTACATATTCTTCACTCTTTCTTCAATCTTTATCATCATAGTGTTTGTTTGTTTCCAGAACTGTTTCACTGACACAAAACGCAGCAATTTTTCGTAAACACTCCGTGTAACTCCTAAGCAATGCGATAACTTTAAGAAATTATTTTCGACTGTTTAATTAAATCAGGAATTATCAGACTTAACAAATGACGAAGCAAGCACTGTGTCCCGGAACGTCGAGAGCTTGTATGGAGACCGAGTAGAGCGGGTCCCCTCAGTGCCTTCGTAGGCCCCTCTAATTCTTTAGCGGGCTTTTTTTTTAACAGGTTTAATACGTAGAATATTTCTTTATTCATAAATAGCAGTCTTAAACAATTTTATTTTTTGCTAGTAAAAATAATAATTAATTTATAGAGGTAGGGACCCGTAGTGCCCTTACACCTATAAATCTCTCTTTTCTCTTGATTGTTCTGATTGTTTAGCTATCTGTTCGCCATGACTGTTCACTTGTCGAAGAATTTGCAACTCCATTTAAACCATAAATTCGTTAGAAAACGCACTTAATGAACTAAGAACTAAAATTTCAATTGAATTATTTATTAATTTACTTACATTTATTGATTTATTTATTAGTATAAAAAATCTTATTTAATTACAAAAGAGCTTACACTAAGTTATGCAACGAAATTCTAGTTACTTGCAATAATAATTATTTCATAACAATTAATTATTCTATATATAGAATATATTTATGTTTAAGAACAGGAAAAAGTCTATTTGCTCAATCTTCTTCCCTTATTATGGTATTATTATTATATCTAGATCTGAATATATTTCAGGAATTTCTTATTGGTGTATTTCTATATCATTATGCTATCTTAGAAATTTTTTACTCTTTTCGCCTTGTGGGAACTAAGAGGGCATTTTTATCATGCTCATTATCCAAGGTCTATATAAATAGGTCTGGACACGTCCCGTGATCCTTAGCGGCTGCGGCCATTTTGGGATTTATCGAAAGAGTATACCCTACAGGAGGTTCCTGTGTGAGTCAGTTATATCTAAATGCTCAAAAAGTGAAAAAATGGATTATTGTGTGGCATCAAATTGTAAAAGTAAATCTTCAGATGTTAGATTATTTAGATTTCCTGCAGATAAGCAAAGAAAAGCAAGATGAGTGCAGAACTGCTGACGGGATAAATGACAGCGAACTGAACATTCTAAACTGGATACAATTGCAGATGTAAATGACACTGTTGGGACCTTGACAGAGTTGTAGAGTATGCTCATAGGAGCAAAAAAGTCAAAAGAACTATATCTCTACATGTGATCCTTCGCGAAATATAGCCCCCCTAAATCAGTCGCATGCGATCGGGATTCGCGACGCGCATCGAGAGCTTAGCTAAGACAATTGCGTTTAACTATTTAGTCCACTTGACTATGCCTGCTTTGAGTAACCCACTTGACTGTTCGTGGAGTATCTGATATAATTTTACAGGATGTGAGGTTCGCCCCCACGCGGGCGCTGAGATGCAAACGATAGCAAGCACCCTGAAGTCACGACTTCTCCGCGTCGGTCAAGGCTTGCTATAGCTTGCCTTGACCGACGTGGAGCATAGAGAATACGCAGTAATACTAGTTCAAGGTAAATACTGTTTTTGGTCAGTAAAAGTTAATGCATTTATTTGTTACCGACACTGATTCCCGTGCCTATATCTTAACTTGCTTGCAAGCATGACGTCCGCAAGCAAGATGGCGACCGGAACTGCAGTCGTTGGATTTCCACATTTGGACGCGAATATCTGGCAAAGGATTGCATGTCTGACTTTTTTTTTATTCTTTACTGATAAATATCGTTATCTTGTCTGATCACCGTGCTGGGCTGTCTGTTAAACACGCGATAGGTTTAGCAGAGCACGCAGCGTAACTCGGTATATCGCCTGGAAGCAGGCTGTACGCTGATTTCGAGTGGCTTAAATTTCGCGAAATGTCATGTATAGAGATATGGTTTCTTTGACTTTTCTTTGATATTATTTCACCACTTTAGGAAATCCCTATATGAGTGATAAAACTAATGCAACTACTAATTTGATTAGTTTCAATTAAGACAGCAAATAAGGATGCTGTTTATTTTAAACCATTTTGATCAAGTTACATAAAATTATGATTGCATAATCATCTGAAATTATTATTAGACTGGAATCACTTTTGGCTTTATGTAATTTTAGTTTAATGTCATATAAAACTAACTGTCGCACAAGTTTGTTTAAAATCTGCACTATTCAAAAACTCCAAAATGGCAGCTTCATAAGTGAGGTAACGTTCGTATCCAGACCTATTTTTGTAGACCTTGCCGTTATCAGTTCGGCCAGCTCACAATAGGGAGTCCAAGTGGTGAGGGACGGACACGACAGATCCAGGTCTGATCATCCAGGAAAAATTTATTGAAATTTTTTCGACCCGTCTGGATTTGTACCCGGGTCCCTCAGAGCAGAAAGCTGCCACCTTAACTGCTCGACCACCCGCCCTTGTTAGCATGAAGACATAGCGTCGCGAACCGGATCATCGCGGACTATCTACAGCAGTAGCAGTGTTTCTCAACCTCTAACGAATCGTCGCCCCCTTCAACATAGTATCGACCCCTTCAATAAAACCGTTACGTAGTATCGTTCCCTTCACTTCAAAATTCCGATGCCGAGGGCCAAGGCTAACGCCAAATTCGTACTGCATTGAATAGACTAGTGACTAGTATAATGTTATTTGTTTAATTATTATACGATATAACGAATAAAATATCTAATTATTCTTAATATAATGTTATACTATATCGCCCAGAAAATTGTTTTTCGCCCCCAAAATATAAATTGTTACTAATCGCCCCTCAACATGAAAAAATGCCCATATGGAGACGATATCGCACCCATTCAGAAACACTGATCTACAGGGACGCATTGTTCAAAACACTACTTATTTTTCATTGTAAGTTCAACGATACATGTTTAAAAATTGAAAATCGCAAAAGAAAAAAGAAAACGTTAATTTAAATTAGCCATCGAGTGATGACTCGTAAACGTGTCGTTCGTTCCGGGTTCGAATCCCGCCGATATTAAACATTTACAAAATATTATCCCTTCCAAAAAAAAAATGAAATTAAATTTTCAGAAATAATTAATTTATTTAAGTAATTTTATTGCATATAAAATAAATATTATATTTATTATTTAGTTAGGTATTTTGGCTATTATTTAGAATTGGCTGCTTATTGGCAGTGGCGATATTTTCAAATGTTTGTTGATATTTATTTTCTGTCAAACACGTGAGAATGTCTTCTGGTGAAACAGAAAAAGGTAAGCTGTATATTTACGTAAATAACATGTAATTAACAAGCAGCATCAGTCTAATTATCGAAACTCTCCTCTATTTCCTACAAATACTTGAGATTTCATCATAAAGTTTCATAAAATTTGATACAATTCTAGGACCGAATGACGCGATTGGGACTTTAACAGAGCTGTAGAGCATATCGATAGGAACAAAAATGTCAAAGGAATCATCTCTAATTGTGACCCTTGACAAGATGTTTGTCTTGATTGCTTTGTTGCTTGTTAAACACGCAATGGGCTTAACAGATGTCATAGTGTGACTCTGTGTCCTAGAAGTTGTCAGTGTAATGGCATTTCTTGTATTTTATGAACTTTTGGCTGTCTCTAGCAAAGTGGAAAGTTGATTTTTAGCATTATTTTGAGAAATAGTTTTGGATTTTTTCACTTCTAAATTTTAATCCATTTTTGTTGGTCCAAAATTCCAAATAGGCTGATTTCAGGGAGGCTATAGCTTGCAATGTGCCAAATGTGGACATTGGTTTCTAAGACTTCTTTATTTCTATGAGATTTGTCTATAGTCTGATAATGTTTCAACTATCATATTCAGAGCTACATTTTACGTTCTTTTTCACTTGTATTCTATAGTACCCTGTTTAATACATGGGAAAAAGATTTTCAATAATTTACAATTTATCTTTCTACTCACTGATAGTTATTATTACAATAACTGGTTCTGTCAAAAAATTTTCTCTGTTAGATACCATCAGAATTCTGAAAGAGTTGTAAAGTATGATTTATAAAGGAAAAATAACACCAATAAAGAACCAGAGATCTTATATATCTGGTTCTTTATTGATGTTATTTTTCCTTTATATTCACTAATCCTTCACAAGATATGCATTATGAAGTTTGCTCCTGTAATGCTGAATGACTTGAGAAAATTGTCAAAATTTTATTTTGATATTACTGATCACAGATATGTTATAAACTTTACATTAAAAATAATTTTACATAAAGAAATGAATATATTTTAAAATCTTCATAAATTCTTTCTTTTCTTGTCATATTAATATACAAAAAGCTATGCATTATGTAAATATCTGTTATACGAGGGGTGAAAAAGTAAGTTATACAGTTGTTATTATGGAAAAAAAAACATTTTTTATGTACAAATTAAATCACAAATAAGGAATATGAATTAGTAAAAGATAATAAAAATAATAATAATGTACACCAAACATTTGTATTTCTCAGATTCTTAATTGTATACCTACTTTTGCACCCCTTTGTATATTAAAATGCCAAATAAACTGAACTAAAAATTCAAAAATTTACCTTATTATTTATTGACAATGTTTCATTAACTTTTAATGATGATTGATTTCAGAAAAGATGATTATATTGTATACTTTGACATTATATAATATTCTTTTAATATAATTATACTTCATTTCCTTTTTAGATTTTTCCTTTTTACAGCTAATAATTTTATCAAACTATCAAAATTCCTGATATTGTATTACTAATTTTGTTAATATATACAACAACCTGATTCAATTAGTATTGCAAAATAATTCTCTGCATAGAATACAGATCTGGATATTATACAGATAAAATAAATCCTTAATTAATATAACCCAATAAATAATCCAGTGGATACAGTGGAACTCATTATTTGAGCCTTGATTAACCAAGATTTTGCATTATCCGAGGAAAATCTCTAACTAAATACACTAATTTTTTTATATTGTAATTCATAAAAGTAAGTTGAAAGTGATAACATGTATTATAAAATGATTTGTTTCTGTTACCTTTTATCATTTAACTTCATTGTGAGACAAATTATTCATATTAAAATGTAACTACACAAAAACTGTTGTGCATATTAGCTGTATAATAAATAATGCAAAAATTGTTATTCTTATATATAATTAAATTCACTAAGGTATAAAAAGAGACTTAAAAGTGCTACTATATAAATCTTTTATATTCATAATTTTTAATCCAAAATCGACATGATCTAATTCTGTTTTAAACAGTGACAATTTAGTGTTTAAAAAATTTATTTGAAATTTATTTTATGAAACTAAAAATAATTTTCTGATGATGATGATTCATATTACTCTAATAAAAGTTATTTAAAAATTTTTGAAATTAAATTTTAGTTTTTTAAAAATAAGTACAAAGTATTGATGACAAATTTTATTGCTTAATATTTTTATTGTTTCATCTCTTCCTTATCAAACATTAAAATTAATATTATGATTGTATTATTATTAAAGACAGTGAGAATCTTTCTCAAACAAATGCTGAACAAAAATGTGATGCTAATGGAAATGGAAATGGAAATGGAAATGAAATTTCAGCAGCAGAAAATAAGAATTATTCATAGTAAGTATGTTTATAGTGAAACCGCTTACTAAAAATTATTTTGATATTTATATCAGATTTTTTTGATCTATTATAAATAAATAATTTTTCTTTCCTGAAAATGACTGATTTTTAATTCTTGATGATATTTTTAACGGTGTAAATTGTTACTAAAAGTACTTACTTTATCAAATTAAATATATAAAAGTTTGAATTTTGATTATTATGCATTCTAGTAATTAAACTTTTTAAATTTTTAAAAAATGAAATAAGAAAAGTTTTTAGAAATTCTATGACATGAGAAACTACTAGCAGTTAGAATTTTATGTTTAAAAAAATTAATTTTTTAGAAAGGCAACTGTCTTCAAGACAACAATATGTGTGAAATGACCCATAACTATGATGTCAATTCATATTTCTTTCTTTCTTTGGGATTTCCAGAAAGATAAGTTATACTAATGGAAACTAGAAGCATTGCAAATCATAGCCAAAATCATATCATAGTTCTGTAGCCTTATTTGAACATTTGTGTTGTGAAGTGATACCAATGCAATTGTGCATGTTCAAGAGACTGAGATGAAATGAACATTATATTGAACATGCTTATTAATGACAAATTTTCAAGTTTTTCTGACTTTTTTAACTAATAATTTATATCTACTTTTATCAATAATATAATAAATTACATAAAAAACAACTGCATTTCATTCTCCATCCTGCACAGAGATTCTGATGATAAGGAAATAATCCCTGAAAGTGTTTAAAAAATTTTGAAAAATTTGAATTCCTGAAAGAAGTCTGATGATTCTTATAGTGCAGTTATAAAAAAGGAAATTGTGAACTAGACAAAATTATTTTTTGTAACATATTAGTTTCTTTGTAAATAATCAACAAATATTGTAAAGATTTAGAAATAGTTGAAATTAACTACTTGAAAAATGCAAGAAAAATTAATTTTATGATAGAAAAAGTCTTGTTCAAAAAGTAAATAAAGGATCATGGAATAAAATTCTAATTATTACAGTAGAACCTTGATTTAATGAACTTCAGATTTAACAGACAAAATTTCCAGTCAGTATGTTATACATGAAAATTAATACCCTATTAAATTTAAAATGCATTTGATATGTAATTAAATTAACAGGTTTATTTTTCCAAATTCCAGAGTCACTACTTTTAATTTCATGATGATGATATCATGACACTCCTGTCTTGATATCATCATCATCATCCAAAGACAAATAAATAGGAAATTTTTGTGTGTTTTTGTCAAATTTAAATTTTGTTTTCTTTTTAAGAACATTATCTATTTGTTTAATTAAATACAATTAAAGTATATTTTCCAAAAATTGTTTGTTTATTTGTTTCGATTTAGATCATATACTCATTCTTTAGTCTCAGAATTACAGTGAGTACATAAACATTAACACATATAGAAAACTTTTCTGTGAAATTAGATTCCTCATACATACTTAATTTAAATTATGCAAACCTATCTTTTTAAGTAAAAGCAGATAAACTAACTAATTTGTCAGTTTTTTAACACGTGCATTCAAAAAAACCTACTTTATTATATAATGGACTTTTGGTTTTAAGGGATATCCTCTCCCAAATTATTCCATTAAATCAAGATTTTACTATAGAGTCTCTCCTTGACTTACAATGGGGGTTTGTTCCAAAAAACACATTGTAAGTTGAAAATAAAAATAAATACTGTAAATAAAAAAAGGTTATATGCAAGTATGTAAAATTGCATATTGTATCATAAAGTGTACAGAAAAAAGGAAAAGAAGAATGAATGAAACAAAAGAAAATGTACAGAAGTAATGTTACACATACAGTAATCTTTCAAATATTATAACATTGCCAGAAAAGTATGCAATAAAATTTTATTATCAAAACTTAAAAGAAAATTAAAGGAGATGGTGGAATATTAATTTATGGATAAAGACGATGCTATGGCAATAGTGCTCTCAATATCTTCTGAAATATGCTTCCAAACTGGGAATGCTGCAAGATGTGAGCTGCTTGAATTTAAATTCTAACAGTTTTCACACTCATTTCACTTACATTGGCCATCGTATGTGCAAAATATCATATGTTGAAACATTGTAAGTTGAGTATTACATTGTGTTTATCTTAAATGTTAATTGTTTATTATTTAAAAAACTGTACTTTATCATAATTGAATATTGTAATTATAATTTAATAAATTTTTGAATTATAATATAGACTAGGTGTGGCCAAACTTTTATCCCTTAGGGGCTACTTTTTTGGTAAAATTTAGTCTGCGGGCGACTATGAATATGGGCAATTTTAGGATTTTTATATGCGCATGCGTTAACATTCATTTACATTGTTCATCGGGATAAATACAAACAGTATGGTACGTTGCACAGACAGTCTATTATTGTAAGAATAAATTATCGAATTAAGATTTTTAAACATTAATTTAAGTGAAAGCAAATTGTTCAACTTTAGCTTTGCGGGCTACTTTCAAAACCTTTGCGGTCGACCGGTCGACCACAGTCTACGTGTTGGCCATCCCTGATATAGACTAAGTATCTTATCCATGTTATTATTATTATATTTTTTCACTTAATCCATATCTGTTTTTTAATACAGTATTTCCAATGATTTATTAGAAGAGTATCATAAAACAGTTGAAAGTATGAGATCAGAAATTACAACTTATGAGGTCAGTTGTAAAATACAACTTGCTTTTTTTATTTATATAAATTAACAAATAAAAACTTTTTTTGTCATAAAGTTATTTTAAAATTTAGTTATAAAATATATCAAGCAAAATAAGTTGTTTATGAGAGGTAGGTGAAAAGTTTTGAGTCTTGATAGGAAGGCAATATACTGTATTTTGAAATATTTAATCCCAAGTGTTCTTTGCAATATTAGTTAAGTTTTAGAAGAGTTTTATTTTTGTGAAATTAATTCTACTTTGTTTTTTGGGTGTCAGCATGTGATAGGATGGTTTCAGAAGGTAAGATTTTAAAGTTTAACAGTATGGATGAAGCAAGTAATGTTAATGACTGAATTCAAATTAGACAAGGAAATAATGATATTGAATTCTNATCAATAGTTACAGTATTTCTGTATATATCTGTTGACAGATATAAAAAAATATTTAATGATTGCAAAAATTTTCTTAATTTTATAATAATTTCTATTCATATTTATTAAAATTTTTGCCCTATGAGTTCTTTATCACCAAATTATTTTATTATGAATGATAATTTTATTTTTACAGAAAGAACAAGAAACTTTATCAAATGAAGTTTTACGATTAGTTGAAGAAAATAAAAAGTAAGATCACTATACATTTTATGAGAGAAAAGTTTATTAGTAATCTAAAATGAAGAATAACAATGTAATTGTTTTTAAAACATTTTTTTTTTCAATTTTAATCATTTCTAATTAGTAAATGTAAATATATATGTTAAATGTTAATATGTATAATTGTTCATATTCTATATTTGAGGCAGAGCATTGGCAAAGCCTCATTTATGTAGCTTATAGAATTGTATTTATTCTTAAAATCCATTTGATTAATTTTGATTAAACTTTGCCATTTTTCATTAATTGCAATGAGGAATTCAAAAATGTAGTGAGGGTCCATTTAAATGTAAAAATAGGAGTCCATGACTGTTTTTAATACTGAGATATTAATTAAAGTGACAATGTCCATGCTCTTTGATGTGTCTGAGTGTGCCTAATTGAATTTAAGCTTAGAAGTCAAAAATGAAATCAGCATTGCATGCACTTAATGGAAAATAGACATGATAAATGAACAAAATACAAGAAAACTGCAATCAATGGTGATTGCTTTGTTCTTGGATTGCATCTCTGTGTTGGCAAGTGCAAGGATCTTCTCTCCATACCTGCACAGAGCAAGGATCATATTGCCCATAGCGGCAGTTACAAGAATTGCTTCTTCTAAGCTTAATAGGTGCAGGACTTGTTTTTTTTCTTTCCAGCTCTACTCATGAGATTCTATCATGATACAATAAAGTTGTGCAATGTCCTAGAATAAAATATGATTTTTCTGTTATTGTTAAGATAAATATTAATTTTTTATTTATTTATCACAATAGATTATCTAAAGAATTGAGTGAAGCAAATACAAATAAATCTACAGCTGATGAAAATAATGTTCATAACCTACAAGAGCAGTTAAGAACTATAACTGAGGTATATTTATATTATATTAATTTAATGCTTTGTTATTAATATTTCTCAGATTTTATCATTTAAAATATTCATTAGATTAGTAAAGTACTGTACTTTCCTATATAAAAGTTTATTTGGGAAGTTATATGTTCATTGCTCTTAATGTTGATACAAGCAATGGCTTAGATATTTTTCTCATATAAACATTAGGTAACATATCTTGTAATACTACTGTAAAGTATTGACCTTTTAGCAGAGTGGGAAATGTTATTATTATTATATTTTTTCACTTAATCCATATCTGTTTTTTAATACAGTATTTCCAATGATTTATTAGAAGAGTATCATAAAACAGTTGAAAGTATGAGATCAGAAATTACAACTTATGAGGTCAGTTGTAAAATACAACTTGCTTTTTTTATTTATATAAATTAACAAATAAAAATTTTTTTTGTCATAAAGTTATTTTAAAATTTAGTTATAAAATATATCAAGCAAAATAAGTTGTTTATGAGAGGTAGGTGAAAAGTTTTGAGTCTTGATAGGNTTTTTTTGTCATAAAGTTATTTTAAAATTTAGTTATAAAATATATCAAGCAAAATAAGTTGTTTATGAGAGGTAGGTGAAAAGTTTTGAGTCTTGATAGGAAGGCAATATACTGTATTTTGAAATATTTAATCCCAAGTGTTCTTTGCAATATTAGTTAAGTTTTAGAAGAGTTTTATTTTTGTGAAATTAATTCTACTTTGTTTTTTGGGTGTCAGCATGTGATAGGATGGTTTCAGAAGGTAAGATTTTAAAGTTTAACAGTATGGATGAAGCAAGTAATGTTAATGACTGAATTCAAATTAGACAAGGAAATAATGATATTGAATTCTAATTGAGGTTACTAGTGTCTCTGGCTGCTACTAAAACATATATGCTTGGATATTATCATTGAGGATAGTTCTGTCACTGTGAAATCAATCTCTGATGTGTCAAAATGACAGCAAATTCTTAGATTTCAGATTCCTGCCTTTTGAAGCCACCTCACCACATATTGACACCACAAAACAAGTACAATTACTATTACAACAATGAAATTTTCAAGTTTATATTTAAATGTTATAAGTATTATGTAGAAGTGTTGCAACAATAGCAACACTTCTACAAAAGTTCTGAGTGATTTATTAATCACTCAGAACTTTTTTATCATCTTTTGAGAACATTATATAACTAAATGCATATCTATCCTAGCAATAAATATCTTTGTTGTCAGGATAATGAAAATATTTATCATTAATAAACACTATTACATTAGTTATATTAATGTGTTAGTGTTTGTTAGTGAATGTGTAATTAGTTATATGGAGATTATTATTAAATTAAATAAATAAAAAAAATAGAATAAAATTTTGTTGGTATCTGCTATCATTTTTGACTTGTAATGTACAATCAAACTTTAATATCCTAAAGCAAATGTTACACTACATTGAAGAACCTCCTACATAAGAATATATAGTAATGAGGTCTACATATCAATTTGAGAGTTTGAAAGTCATGATTTAACAACAATGTTACATGTAAAATTTTACATTTAGTACTTCACAGATACTAGAGAGGTTGAGGTGCACGTTTTAAACGTGTAAACGTGTACGTGTGACGTTCGGCGCCGCTTTCCCGTAAGCCTAAAAGTTTGACAATGGTGTTTGGATAGTCGGTGGAATCACGCTCGACATTCCAAACACCATCGTCAAACTTTTAGGCTTACGGGAAAGCGGCGCCGNTGCACTTGGCATAAGCTATGAGTGTTTGAACTTACGTGGCCGTTACATTGCCTGCCCATGCATCTGTGGATATCTGTGAAGTTCATTGGTAAAAAGAACAAAAATGATTTTAAAAAAATTACTTAGATGGATTACAGTTAGATGGCACGGGATCCCATTATACACGAATTTCAGCATTTATTAAATAAGCAATTTAATGAAAAATTAATTGGACGTCGTGGACCAGTACAATAGCCGAATCGCCGAACTCGGCTTTTCCTGACTTTTATTTGTGGGAGTATTTAAAGAATGTTGTCTACGAACAGGAATCATGATGATTTTTTATCATCTTTCTTTCTTTTTTCAATGAACTTCATACATATCCAGAGATGCACAGGCACGCGGTGTGGCGGCCCATAAAAGTTCAAACGCTTATAATTTCTGATAAGTGCATCTTTCCAAAAAAATGTTTCAGATGGATATTTTATGTAGAATGTAATATTCAGTAAAAAATGGAGATTTTTATTTAAGAAAATAAAGTTTATTCGTTTTTATCATGCTCCACTATAGTAGTGAAGTGCTTATGTTAGGACTTTTGTGTTTCTGTCAGACATTCCATTCAAAGGGAACTGAACATTTTTGTTTATGGTCATTGTAAGCTATAGTAAAAACTACGTGGTTCCTCTGGAATCTATAAGCCACATCCCTTACTGTATATTCAGTGAAAAATTCTTCTGAAGAACTACTTAATACCAAGAATTTATAAAATTTATTTTAAACAAAATTAATATTTGATTCGCTTTTGTGGAGCGTGCTCTCAGATAGGCTTGACCAACATTGTTTATCGATTGTAGCGCTATCTACGATAAGGGCGGTCGCCCCATTTTGTGCCCTCTTGAAGTCTAACATTTTTGATTCAATGATTTTTTTCGTAGTTTCGAGTTATTCGAGTGGATTGATTAAAATTGATCATCTTGTATACATTGTTTACAAATAGTGAGAATTTACTAATTTTAATTGTATTAAAAGCCTTTTTATATTTATTCCTCTGTTCAGTGCATTTGGATCTTTTAAAAATATTTTATTCCCATAGATGAAAGAAAAGGACTTTAATAATTTAATTATAAAGCATTATTGATAAAATTTCCTCCTTAATAAATTTTTATAAGTAATCATTTTAATGTTCCTTTTTCGACGTTTAAAATTTATTAAGCTAACTTATCAAAGAATATTTATATACAGTATGCAAATGCAAATTTGCAAAACTAAACTGCAAAACTAAAAAATGCAAAACAAAAAACATATTTACTAATTTATAGGCCTATATTTTAATAATAAACTGAATACAGTGTATCAACTTTTGTAATTAAACTTGTGTTATTATCTCACAATATTTATGTCAAGTATAGTAATCATGAAATAATTATCAAATTTTTTATATTTATTTTTAAATGGTTGCTTAGTTTACCCTTTTAATTATTTGATTGAATAATCTCAGTGTAAAGTATTGACCTTTTAGCAGAGAGGGAACAAAAGAAGCGCGACCTTGTCAATTGGAGCCACGTGCGGTCGGGTAATACCACTTGTAAGGTATTGACATGTAAACAGACAGAAAACAAAGGAAGCGCCGGCTTTGTCAATTGGACCCACCTGTAGTCAGACGTTAGAGCATTTGCCATATGGTAAACAAACGAACGTAAACAAGTGGCGGACGTTTGTGTAATCTCCACTCTCGTCGGATGACGGCGGACCCGAGTGTAAGCTGTTCGGGCAAGAAGGGATTGTAATTGGTCGGAAGTCCCCGTTCCAAAAATCCTTAAATTGCGGGGCGAACGAGAGAGGAAGAGAGAAGGGCAAGAGACTGGTACACGGTGGTCTCAGGCACTTGGAAGGCCCGCTGAGCGTAGAGAGAGTGTTCTCCTCGGGTAAACATCTCAGGGACGGGTTAGTGCGGAGACTGGACGGACCGTGCAGTTGAGCCAACTCCACGAGCTGACTGAGGCTTCTTCAAAGTTTAAAAGTTTCCAGAAACCAAGCTAGTATGTGAGTCACCATGCATTGTTACCCTATATATATTATGTTTTCGAACTTGTACCTTCTACATATAGAATCTGTAAATAAACTGTAAATATTATCAATTTGAATGTGGAGGTGTGCTTTTCATTGAACCTGGATCACTATATCGAATCGTGATACACACGAAAAAACCAACTCAACGAGACGGAGTTGGGAAAGAACATCACTAAGATCTTCACTACTATGATATCCATTTGTTTACTTTTTTTTATTCCAAAGAGATCTGTATGAACAATGTATGATTTAAATAAGATGATACTAGTTGATCAAATGAACTTACTGACAAGACGTAGAGTGAGAAATGACCTGTACCAGCTATGCTTGATATTTTGTTATGCTTTGTGAGAAACATTTAAATTTTGACTTGAAGGATGATGTTTGAAGCTCTAAATAAATAAAAATTTTACAAATAACTATTTATAAGTACAAAATTTGATTTTTTTTTAATACTGTATGCAGAGCCGTAACTAGGCAGGTGCAACAGTTGCACCCGCACAGGGCCCACTCGAAAGGAGGGCCCAAACTGCTGTTCACAAGAAATTATATTTTTAAATTTTAAATTTTTCCGCCTTTCTACAGCGGGGTTTGGCGATTACATTTCGCCTTACTTAGACTCTAGATGTCAGCTCACCGGTGTTCCCTACTGCGGCGACTTTTAAAGGGACGTAGTGAGGTAGCGGAGACCTCAGACGAATCAGCCAAAAGTAGCGAATTTTGATATTTTTTAATTTATTTTTTGAGAAATTTATGTTCATAGTTTTCAAATTTACAGATTTTTCTCTACTTTATAGAGCTCTCTGGCAACTACTATTATTATTACGATATACAAAACTGTATTTCTAGATTTTTCTACAGTGTGCGGAGCTAGAAATCCGTTAAGGTAACGTTTTGTAACAAAAATAAATCTGTCCGAGGATTTTTTTAAAATTACTAAATTGGAAACGGTAACTCCCGAATAAAATCTTAGTCTCGAGGTTGTAAAAGGCGTGCAGAAATTCTGACATCATTTTTTGCTTTATAGTGGTACGCATATGTGGTGTATACCTGAACGGCGGATTAAGCGGTAAGCGAACTATGCGGGCGCGTAGGGCCCCGAAGGGGCTCCCGCAGTCTTTAAAATGCTACTGAAAAAAGGGATTGCGAAAACGCAGAAGATAGAAATAGTCCAAAAAAACGCTTCGATATATATAGATACATGGAAGTAATAAATGATATAGCTTTATGGCCAACAATATTAACAGATGCTATTATTGATCATATTCTTAAAACAAACCAAAAAGTATAGAAAAGGGATTTCTTAATAAACGAAAAAAAAGAGTTAAGATAATGGAAATAGATAAAACACCAGATGAAGGAAGTAACTTGACACCCGAAAAATTATTTAAAATACAAATTTACAGTGTTCTTGACACTCTATTGTGTCAAATAGATTGGCGTTATGAAAAAATGAAAACTATCTGTGACGATTTTTGCTTTCGCTGTGGCTGGTCTTTACAATGCATGAGTTTGCTGATTTAAAAAAATCGGCTGCAGATCTCGCTATTAAATATAGCAAAGATTTAAAAAAGTACGAATTCACAAGTGAAATTGAAAGTTTTAATTTTGAAGTAACGACTCTTATACAAAATATAGAAACTGCATCTCCGCTTAATATTCTACAGGTTCTTCATGATTTTGGTTTAATTGAGTCTTACCCAAATATCACTGTCAATGTCGCTTTTCGAATATTTCTAACTCTTCCCGTTTCTATTGCTTCGTGCGAGAGAAGTTTTAGCAAGTTAAACTTAAAAATTATTTAAGATTAACTAGCGGACAAAAACGATTATCCAATATTTCTATTATTTCAATAGAATACAATATCGTTAAAAATATTAATTATGAAGGTGTAACGAAGCCAGAAAAATTCAATTAAAATAAATCTTATTAAAAATCTATTGTAATGTATTTGTTTTATTATTTTCCCAAAACCAAATAAATTAAGGGGCCTAAATGCAAATTCTTGCACAGGGCCCAGGAATGGCTAGTTACGGCTCTGACTGTATGAACAGAGATCCATATGATAATCCATTTTAAAAATTTTGTAGAAGAATAAACAGAGATCCATATGATAATCCGTTTTAAAAATTTTGTAGACTCAAAACATGAAGACAGCCGTACTAAATTCCAGCAGACTTAATGAAAATTGATCAACATTTTCAACTTAACAATTAATTCAGCTTATTTAAGATTTATGATCTGAAGCAGGTCTGCTAAAATGAGGTCAAAAACATTGTCAATTTTCATTAAATATTTGCTGGAAGTTATTATGTTTGTCTTTGATATTCTAGATATTTATTTCCAGTTTTTCTGTTGTTTTTTGCATAAAAAAAACAATTCAATGGTCCATGCAATGCATTAAATGGTTTTTTAATGCAATTCAATTTAGTCCACAGGTCATACAGGACCCATGAACTGCCATTTGTAAAAAGTTTGTAAACATAAATCTGTGTAGGCACAGACAAATTCAGTTTTTTTTTTATATAAACAGTTTTAGTTTTAATTCAGTTTTTTTAAATGAAAATTTCCAGTATGTGTATGCTATTTTTTTAGTATAGGTGATTTTCAGTTATTACAATATTTAATGTAAATGGCAGGAATGAGTTAACATGACATTGAGGATCAGTGATGTGTGACTAGTCTGTCAGGCGATGCCAACTTATTGCATAGCAGCAAATCTGAGTTGTAATGTTACCAAAATACTTGCTCTGCTTCTTGGGAGTAAACTTTTTATTTGGCCCTACAGGAAATTCATTCAAACTTACTTAGAAATTAATAATTTGAATTGATCTTTCTAAATAGTTAACAGTGCAATTCACTTGAAAGTTTTTAATGAAAGACTTGAAAGCAAAATTATAATCTTTGTGATATTTAATTTTCAACAGTATAGATCTTTTGTATAAACATAGTTAACATATCAAATACATTTATGAATGCCAGAACATTTGTCAAAGATCAAATCTGTTTACAATAGATATTAATGTTTGTATTATATATATACATTTCATAATGGTTGTTATCAAATTTTCTTTTGTTTAAAAGGCAAGAGATTCTGCAGTTCAAATGTGGCAAAACGCTGTTCAAGAAATTACACGACTTCAGCATATTGTTCAGGTAAGTAAGGAATTTTTTTGCTTATTGTGAATCTTCCTTAATAGAAATTAATACAAATAAGAATATGAGACTTAATTTCCTGATAAATGATGATGATAAAAATTAGTTTTTTTCAATCTCACCTAAAGGAAAATCCAATGCAGAGTGAAATTTTAGAAGAAAAAGTTTCACAGGTAACTTTTAATTTGTAAATAATTATATATTTAATTGAAGAATGCAAATAATTATATATGTAATTTAGCACTCTTAAAAGTGAATTTAAATCAATATTTGAATCTTTCAAATTTTAAAATAAATTTTTTGTTAAAACTGAACAAATATCATAATGATAGTATCATATTCTTTTTCATCATCTATTTAATGTTAATCAATTGCTTAAAGAATTAATTATACTGTTATGTATCTTATTAAGAATCTTCAGCAGTTCTAAAACTCATAATTGATTTCAGAAATATTTAACATAATATCAAATAACAGTGATTTCTAATCTAAAACTGAAATGTTTTTAATTCTTTAAAAAACATATATATATATATATATATATATATATACATGGTCTGTCCCAAAAGTAAGTATACTGATTTTTTATTTAATGACTGTGCAGCTTAACACATCATTAATTGGTATTTTTACATTGCTAGAAATTTAGCAGCATATTTAGACCTGTTTCAAGTTGATCAGTTGAATCAAATTTGCACAATCTCTGTGTAAGATAGTGTTTTAACACATTGTTACATTTTAAATGGAAAAAAATTTCAAACGTTATATCATGAAGTTTTGTATAAAACTCAAGAAATCTGCAACCAAGACATTTGCAGGTTTATCCAAAGCTGATGGANCTTAGAAGGGGAATCCTCTTCAAAAAAATAACGGGTAGCACTTCACCGGAAGATTCTTTGAGTCAAAGTCTCTTTCGGTAAAAAACCCACCAGTGGCTAAGCGGTCTTCGTACCTTGAACACGAGGAGTTCGTTCGTGGGTTTGCACCTCGCTCAGACGGGCTGGCTATGTGGAATTTTTTGGGATTTCTCCACGTCTGTAACTTTTAAATAGGGGCCAGTTTCCCTTAAAAACACCGCCCAGAAGACATTCCCCCTAGTCAGATCGCCGAAGTGTTGCGTTGTCATAATTTAACAAAGAAACAAACTCTTTGCGTAAGGAACAAGAAATTGATCTAAAGTTGATTGTGTTACTCTTTTAATCAAAATTTTTCTCAAATGCGATAGCGCATTGTCGTTTATATTGCATTGTCATTTTCTAATGCCACTATGACTTTTTTCTTTCTTTGATGCCATATTGATTAAATATATAAATCACAAAACTGAAAAAAGAAGTATAGCACAAACAGTCGGAAAACNTGATTTGAAATACAAACTGCTTATAATTCAATAGATTATAAATGTAAATAAATAAATATAATATAATATAATAAATTTAAATGTTATTGTCCATTCGGAATTGCCATGCTGTAGAAAGTGATATTTCTTCTTTATAATTAATGCTTGTGGATTTGCATTCTGCTTTAAATATTTCAATTGCTTCTAATATCTTGAGGTGAAGGGCAGCGGATGCACCCCATAGTGGACAGGGCTAGAGCACCTACACGCAAATTAGAGAAGTACATACACAGCATACTTGCCACTTACTTGGAAGGCTATAAGTACATGATATCTAACTCAGTGCAGTTATTGAAACAATTTAAGCTAATTGCCCCCCTCTGTATGCAACAGTGATTGACTTCAGATCACTGTACCCATCAATAAAACTTCCACCATGTTTTTGTGTGATTAGGGACTTTCTGTTTGAAGAAATAGGAGATAGAACAATGCACCAGGATATATTGGACCTCACATGGCATGCTATAATTTGGCATTCCAATTTAAAGGGAAGATATACGCTCAAGGTAGAGGTGTTCCTATGGGTAGTCCGTTATTCGAGAACCTCTGTGAATTGGTGGTGAGAACGTTGGAAAGCAGAACCCTACCTAATTTCCTCCCAAATATTATCCTCTATAGAAGATACATCGATAACATAATCATTTTTTGGAGAAGGAAGCCGGATCTGAAAGATTTTATAAATGCAATGAACAACAATCCCTATGGTCTTTTAGTAGAAATTGAGCAACACAGCCAGAACAGGGTCCACTTTTTGGATATAGACATAATATTTGAAGGATCAAACATACAAATGGCAGTGTACAGAAAACCAACAGTAATCACAACATACATTCCAATAGGATCATGCGATTCTTTTTCATATAAAATAGCTGCTTTCAGAGCATTAATCATGAGAGCATACACACATTCTTCCACAACATAGGCTTTAACGCAGGAAATAAATAATATAGAAATGATAGCAAAGAAATATGGGTACACCGACCTGGTGCATAAGTTAAGTGAAAACTACAAACATAAGCAGAGGATATTGACTAATCTAGAAGAAAGATATAATAAGGAAAATGCAGATAGCAAGATGATAGTTCCCGTCACATATAACCTGATTCTAAAATCAATATATACTGCCATTGCCAGGAAACGGGAGATCAAAGTAGCATATAGGAGATGTCGGACCATTTATAGCCTACTAAGGAATGGAAAAGATCGTCCAAACCTGAATAGATTACTGTGCATCTACAAAGTACTGCATCTAATTTCACAAGTTACATTTAAAAAATTCAAAAATAAAACGATTCTGAACAGACAAAAGCTAATCAGTTAATCTTTGCAGAGATAAAAATCTTTAATAAGTAACTTATATTTCCAATTTTATAAGTGGATATATTAATTATATGATATTAATCACACTTTATGAATCTTCTTATTATGTTTTGAGAATTTTAAATTATTTTGTAGCTGTTAATAATTCATTCAATAATAATATGTCAATAACCATTAAAATTGACAAATCTCAAAGGTTAGTATAGACAAATGACATCAAACACTCCATGATGTATTGCTGAAAAATAATCAAATTAGAAATGAACATTACAATGTATATACAAAGTCTTCATGAGTTATTTTAAATACAGTCGACCCCCCTATAACACGGTAGATATGTTCTATTCTTTATGAAATTGATGTTCTAAGAGTCCTTGAATACATGAGCCAATCACAGCCCGGCATGTATGCAGTTTATGGACTAAAGCTGTTTGAAAGGTTTTCTTCCATAAAATTAATCGATTCTAGACTAATTCAACTCAACATTTCCAAAATACATATAATTTTTGGGAATAATCCATATAAACTATGCTATAAACAAAAAATTGTAGGATTACTTACCAAGTGTGCATCATTCGATGACGCCATTGCTTAAGCTTGTTTTTGTCGTGGAGCTTGTCATAAAATTGCACTCGCATGCTTCCTGATAAATTATTTTTCTGCAAAAACTTTGCTGAACTTTGGAGACATCATTAATATAAATATAATTTTTATGGACATTAAATAATAAATGGTTTTTAGTAGGTCCTCTGCTCATTTAAACTCAACGGTTTGTGCAATATCCGCTATTGGTCTAGATTCGACCAATCCTGTCATGACATGAGTTAGCAATGATGTTTTACCGAATTATATGAGTTTTTTAGCGTGCTTGTATGAATACTGTCGCAATTTTTTCACTGTGATATAGGAATCCGAACTATATGAACCTGTGTTATAGGGAGGTCGACTGTATTATGACTAGTAACTATTCTATGCTCAGTACGATATGGTACTTAGCATAGAATAATTTATTATGAAAGCATAGATTATTATAGAATATATCTATAATAATCACAACATATACTGTATAATTTTTATTTATTTTATCATAAGTAAATCAACAACTAACAAATGATCTTCAATGAAAATCAGATAATGCACAAATAAAAATATCTGATCTGATTTAGCACATATAATATAAGGCAAAAAATACCTAATATTAACATTAAATGCTAGGAACAGTTTTAATATATGAATGCAACTAAATATAATAATTCAAAAATCTAACTTGATATAAAAAAATATTCTAAAATAGATCTTCCAAAAAGTAGAGTATAATGTGAATGATATTGAATTACAGTACTATATATTACAGTGGAATCTCACTTAACAAGCATAATTCGTTCCAGAATCTTACTCGTAATGCAAAACACTTGTTAAGCAAAACAATTTTTCCCATAGAAATTAATGTAAAATACAATAATGCATTTCATGCTGAAAAAAATACTCAAATATTTCATGTAAAATTTTTTCAATATTTATAAAATATTATATAAAATATTAGAAATTAAAGAAAATTATAAAACTTCTTACTTGTAACCAATTAACCAGAGCAACATTCGTTTTTAAAATGCAAACGTTTTCAACACCCCTTCTGGGCTCTTCTTCAGGCATTCACTCAAAACCATTGCAAGCTAGTTCTTAAACTTTCGAATTTCTTTCAAAGGCATTCGATAACGTATTCCATTGCGAGCTGGTTCTTAAACTTTCAAATTTCTTTTGAATGTGTTCACTTACATATTCCTAATGTTCATGCATTCCAAATTCAATGAAGCTTCGTTAGACAAATATATGATTTGAAATACAAACTGCTTATAATTCAATAGATTATAAATGTAAATAAATAAATATAATATAATAAAATAAATTTAAATGTTATTGTCCATTTGGAATTGCCATGCTGTAGAAAGTGATATTTCTTCTTTATAATTAATGCTTGTGGATTTGCATTCTGCTTTAAATATTTCAATTGCTTCTAATATCTTGAGGTGAAGGGCAGCGGATGCACCCCATAGTGGACAGGGCTAGAGCACCTACACGCAAATTAGAGAAGTACATACACAGCATACTTGCCACTTACTTGGAAGGCTATAAGTACATGATATCTAACTCAGTGCAGTTATTGAAACAATTTAAGCTAATTGCCCCCCTCTGTATGCAACAGTGATTGACTTCAGATCACTGTACCCATCAATAAAACTTCCACCATGTTTTTGTGTGATTAGGGACTTTCTGTTTGAAGAAA